TACATATCCGGTCATGGCCCCTTCCCACAGTACTATCATCGACACGCTATCACCAGCACTGACGAATGCATCTGTGGTGAAGAGGGCACAGCAGACCATTACATCACTGCATGTCCCCTTACAGAGGACCACCATATTGCCATTCCTATAACGGATCGGCAGGCCTTCTGCAGGTTCCTCGTTAAGCATAAGCCAACAATACGCCAAATCACTGCCGTCATGTCAAAGCTAATGACACTTGGCACAGAATTGTGTCAAACTGCTTAATGTAACTTATGGTGTCAAGCAGCATAATGACTACTGCATAGGAATCACAAATTTATGTATGTACTATGCCTATTTTTCACATCAGACTATTTATATACAGACTGCACCCCAATCTGCAGATTACCTTTCCTTGTGCAATTAATAATGTTACAATATTTCAACATAGTGACTTTTTCTGCATGTATATTACATGCAAATTAATATACCTGCATTATATAATTAAAAACAGCGTTTTCCAGAGTGTAGTATGTAGTATGTGAAATGCAGTATGTAGTATGTGATAATGTGTGTAGTATGTGAAATGCAGGTTTGTAACATGCACTATGTAAAACTTGGCACAGAATTGTAAGAAACTGCTTAATGTATCATATAGTGTCAAGCAGCATAATGACTACTGCATATGAATCACAAACTTATGCATATAGTATGCCTATTAATCACATATCTGACTATTTATATACAGACTGCACCCCAATCTGTAGATAATCTTTATTGTGTAAATTGATAATGTTACAATATTTCAACATGGTGACTTTCACTGCATGTATGTTACATGCAAATTAATATTAACCTGCAATATGTAATATGTGTAGTATGTAATATGTAGGTTTGTAATATGCACCATGTAAAATGGGCAAACATCGCCAATGAACATAATGAAAATATAATGTTTACCTAACTCATTGCAATTCTATTTATAGTCGATTCTGTGTACCATGCAAGACTTTAAATAATAATAAATGAGTAGTGTTAACCTAAGTATCTAACTATGTGTAATAAACGTAAGTATAGAATCTAACAGCAATAAAGTACCTTAAACACAAGTATTAATCATTTTCACAAAGTGCCTCAACATAAGTATTATTCAATTTCTCAGTAATTGTAAACTGTACTATTTAATGTGTGTAATATGTACCATGCTAATATTGTAGTAATATGTACCATGCTAATATTATTGTAATATGTACCATGCTAATATATTAAGTAATTGTAAACTGTAAATGCGTGTAATATGTACCATACTAATATTCTAAGTAATTGTAATCTGTAAATGTGTGTTATATGTACCATGTCTCAGTAATTGTGTGTAATATGTACCATGCTAACACTCTCAGTATTTAAACTTAAGCACTATTAAATCTCTCACTAAATGTTAAATGTACTATGAAATGTGTGTAATATGTACCATGCAAGTATTAATTAATATTATTAACTATTAAAGAACTTCTTAGTAAATGTAATCAGTATTATGTAATGTATGTACTATGTATCATGCAAGTCTGTAAATAATGATGAATGCATAATGTTAACCTAAGTACCTAATTAAGTATGATTACGTAAACATGAACTCAATGGATGCAACGTACCTTAAACATAAGTAATATTCAATTTCCCAGTAAACGCAATATGTAGTATGTAATGTGTAAAATATGTACCATGCAATATGAATGTTTATGTATCATACAAGCCTGAATTTGCAAGTCTGAACCTATTAAGTACTTTAAAGACAAGTATTCATCAATCTCTCAATAAATGTAAACTGTACTATAATAAGCAAGTAATATGCACCATGCAAGTATTAATTAATATCATTAACTATTAATTAACTTCTTAGTAAATGTAATCAGTATTATGTAATGTGTGTACTATGTACCATGCATGTCTGTAAACAATAATGAATGCATAATTATGTTTAATTAATATTAAAATATTGAACTTGCGTATGCAATGTACCTTAAACATAAGTAAAAACAATTTCTGAGTAAATGCAATATATACTATGCAACGTGTGAGAATATGTACCATGCAGTATGAATGTACATGCATCAAGCAAGTCCGAATATGCAAGTTTGAATAGGGTATAGAACATATAATAGTCATGCAAGTCAGAATATGGTAATAGGTACCATGCAAGTCTGAACATAACGGAAATAAGTACTATTAAATTTCTCAGTAATTGTAATCTGTACTATTTAATGTGAGCAACATGTACCATGTTAATATTATTGTAATATGTAACATGCTAATATTCTCAGCATTTGTATTTTTTAGTAACTGTAAATTGTAAATGTGTGTAATATGTACCATGCAAATATACCCCATGTCTCAGTAATTGTGTGTAATATGTACCATGTCAATATTCACAGTACTATTTAATGTGTATAATATGTACCATTCTAATTAATTAGCATGCACTATTTAATGTGTGTAATATGTACTATGCAAACTGTAAATAATAATTAATGCGTAAAGCCAACCTATGTGCTAACCTAAGAACCCAACTATACATACTTATAGTAAGAATTGAATCAAACAGGTGTAAAGTACCTTAAACATAAATATTAAGTACCCTAAACAAAAGTATTAATCAATCTGTCAGTAAATGTAAACTGCACTATGAAATGTGTATGATATGTACCATGCAAGTATTAATTAATATTATTAATTAATAATTAAATTCTTAGAAATGTAATCTGTATTATGTAATGCGTGAACTATGTACAATGCAAGTCTTCTCAGTAAATATAAGCTGTACTATGTAATGTGTATAATATGCACCATGCAAACCTGTAAACAATAATGAATGCGTAGTGTTAAACTATGTGTTAACCTAAATACCTAAGATGTAAAGTACCTTTAACATAAGTATTAATCAATCTCTCTGTGTGTAATATGTACCATGCAAGTCTGTAAATAATAATGAATGCATAGAGTTAACCTAAGTATCTAATCATGTATAATTAACGTAAATATTGAACCTTACGGATGCAAAGAACTTTAAACATAAGTCATATTCTATTTCCCAGTAAATGTAATGTGTAATATGAAATGTGTGAAATATGTGTAATGTAATGTAAATGCACCATGCAAGTATGAATAAGCAAGTCCGAATATGGTACGGCATGTGTAATAGTCATGCAAGTCAGAGTATGGCAATATCTACCATGCAAGTTTGAATGGGTAGCGGTAACCTAAGTACCTAATTATGTCATTCTAGATAAGGGCGGACGTGGTGCTCATAATAATTAACCGTAACGGTGGTAGAGGGATGGTGCCCACGTCCTCCGTCACTCACTCACTCACTCAGACCTGTATATGAGTTGTACGTTTGCTAATAATTATTAATTATATTTGTTATTAAAAAGTTTTTATAATAAATAAGCGTTAATTTTTCATTATTTTAATTTTCAGTGTCTAATAACACAATCTAATGCGTACCATCGGTGGCACGCGCCGCCCGATAAGACAGACGAGTGCGGGCCCACCGGTGGTACGCGCCGCCCGATGAGACAGACTAGTGCGGTGCACCAGTGGCCCGCGCCGGCATGAAAGTGTTGAAGGGTAATGTGTTGTGTCTGTTTATGCTATGTTTAAAAAAATTTAAAGGCTAATGTGTATTCATCATTACACTTTAAATTTTTTCGAAGTATGGTTAACCGGCATAAAAGCGCCCTCACCATCATGAAAGCTGCTGTTCTCAAATTAGAAAACTGATCTTCATGGGCGGGCACCTTTATGCCAGGTCAACTGTTATAAGGTTTTCTGTTTTCTTTTCTGTTCTTTTCAATAAACTGCCTACCCTTATGACAGATGATTTTCCCTTCAGTTAGAAAATATTCTTCATACGGGTGCCAGGACCTTTATGCCAATGTACTCTTATGAAGCTTTATGTCTTTCTGATGCCAAATAGCATGAAGGTGCGAGCAGTACCGTGTACTATACCGAAAAGTTCTGAATAGCAAAACAAACAAACAAAAGAGAAGAATGGGATAATGCTTGGATACAGGGGATAAAGTTTATATTCTTGCCAGAAACTTCGAAAAAAAGTTTAGGAAAAAATTGTGATTATTTTGAAAACAGTTTGAAAGATGGTAAGAAAAAAGACCATGGTACATGGCAACAAGTTAAATTACTCTTGGAAAGAATACGGTATTTAAAGAAATCTCACAAAAAGTGTGAGTGTATTATTGACTGATATTCCGCTAAAAGCTTTTTAATACGCAATTTCTCTTGCAGCTCGATTTTGAGTATAACTCCGAATTTATTTTATAAATTGTATGACAGTGTATAAAACAGCACGTGATTTTTAACTTTTAAAATGAAACTGAGCATCAGACTGGAGTTTTTGTCTTCCGGAAAAAAAAAACGTACATTCATTTTAAATGAGCTTTTTGTGATAAACTAAGAAAAAAAAAATTTTTTTTTTAGTTTTTTGTTTGAGAAAAGTATTAAATGACTAACAAAATATTCTGTAAATTACTCTAAAATTCAAAATGCTTCAAAAGCTCATTTTAGTATAATCAGAAAGGTATACTTTAATTACACAAAAAATATTAAGCGTGTATCTACAGCAGATTTTGAGAAAAGGTACACAAAAAATGGCCAATTTAATATTCTCGGTATAGGGCTTTCCAACACCCCTTAATTGCTGAAATGGTCATGTTTCAGATTATTAGCCATTGAGAAGTTGGTCTGGAACATAATAATATGAATAATCTAAAATGTATTACAGAATTTTAATATGAGTGTTAAGTTCAATTTAAAGAAATTAAAAACATTTTCTCAAATAGTGTGGGATTGTCTTAACATTTGTTTCAGGTTTTAAAAATTTAATAGATTTCTCTTAATACTTTTTTGGAATTTTATATAGAATGGTTAATCTACTTCTACTAAATTATTAATTTAAGTTTGGATGCATACATATATATTTATATAAACGATTTTCAACTTACCTACGCATTTGATTTCTGTTCCTGACCAGGTTCTGTTTGGAAAACATTCTATAACATTCGATCCCATTAGAGTATAACCAGGCTTACACTGGAAGCCAATTTTACTTCCCATATCATAGCGACTGCTGTTCTTCATTCCGTTCACAGGAATGCCAGGATCAGGACAATAGTTATCTAGGATTATAATCAAATTTCAGTGCAGTTATTTAAAATAAGCATTCAATGTAATGTATAAAAATTATTAATGTATAAATTCAAAAATATGTATAAAAAAGAGAGTGAGTCTTATAGGCCAGTGCGTTCTATACGCCGGCAAACACGGTATGTATATGTTTTGTCATAATATCAGGCAAAAATGCATTGTTTTTGCAAAATGCTTCATCTGATGGATCACATAGTTTTCCCTGGTCTTGATAAATGTTTTAAATTTGTCGTCGTAAAGTTAAAACTTTTATGAAAACCTGTTCTGTCAATAGCCAGCGAACCTTGCAGTAGTAGGTGCATCAATACTGTACGTTTTCTCGTCTAAATTTAGCATTTGGCGAAATTCACGATGGCGCAATGCATTTACGCGAATATAGTTGATAATCGAAATACTAGTTCTACCCACAGTGCCTTGCAAAAAGTTTATTTTTCGCGCAAAGGTTTTACTGATGCAAAATGCGCACGTTATTTAATTCTATTAATTTTTAAATTGTCGTAATATATATAATTAAATATTAATTAATACAAGACTTAGAAGCCGTTCAAGAAACTCACGGAGGCCTCGTGCGGCCTCCTAAATTAATGATTTATATTCAGCGGACTGTTTTGATGTTAGTTTTTTTAAGATATTATGAGATGAATGAGCTTTATGTCATGAGTTGCTTACTTTAGTTACTATTTATTGTTACTTTGTTATTATTTCCAGAGTTAGCAACGACATCAGCATCTTCGTTAATATGATTCAGAATGGGGAAGAGAAAAATGGCGAATTAAAAAAAAAAGAGAGAAGAGGATAAAAAAATAAAAAAATGGATGCGGCGATGAAGCATTTCAGCTGATCATTTTTTGTGTTTTCAAGTAATGTTTTTGAAAATGAGAATGATCAAAAGCATTTTGTTAAGAAGATAACAATTTTTAATTCTCATCGTACGGTTGACAAGTTAACAGCAACATTAACACATCAAAAAGTTACTGGAGAAAGATCTTTGGCACTGAAAATAATTGTAATAAATATCAGAAACGACAACAAAAGATATTATTATCACACAATTTTTTTTTTGTCATAGATACTACGATTTATACCAATTTTCCTTAGGGTATTAACATGCGCAACTTAGGGACTTCTGCAACATTACTCTGAGTGATTTTGTTTACTCTGGGGATATTTTGGAGGAAGATTGCTATGTTTTCCTTTCGTTAAATTTACCTTCGGTGTCACACCTGGCAAGTTCTCCGTTCCATTGGCCGTTGGGCATACAATATCTTTCGAATGATCCGATGAGTTTGTAGCTTGTGAAACAACTGAAGGTGACTTTGCTGCCAATTTCAAAATTGCTGCCATGTCGATAGCCGATAGTCCGGTACGCCTGGATCAGTACATCGGATTTCTGTAAAAAACAAACAACAATTAAAAAAAACAGTTAAATGCATTTAAAACACATCATTACGGTGAGTTCCTCTTATAACTATCACTTCTTAGTAAACAACCTTCTAGCTTTAGCTTTAATATAATGGGAACTGTGCGACAACGTTTACGTCACATTTGAAATTTCTTGATGAATTTGTGGAAATCCAGCCATTTCACTGCGCTGCTTCTCTTTAATTTTATCAATTGTTTGGTAACTAATGAAGCAAACAAAAGCGTATCCGAAACCTCATTATTCTGTGAATGTAATAGCTGTAGTAACACTGGTGTGAATAATTACAGCAATGGCGCTGAAATCACATCTTTATGAGATGTCTTTTAGTAGGTCGCTTGACCTCCTCATCATAAGGCACAGCCCCGATCCTCCTAGCCGGCACAAGCCGGCCGTATGATCAAAAAGTGTCAGAAAAAAAAAAAAAAAAAATATAAGAAAAAACATATAGTCCTAAAATTGAGTCTCAGTGCCGAATTCCAATTCTATCTTTGTTCGTATTTATAATCTTCATTAATGTGTTTGGAAAAATCTTTCGAATTTGAATAGGTCCTTTTAAAATCTTCCTTAAAATTATTTCTGTATTTCTCTCTTGCACTCCGGGTAAGCGTACATTCATCGACGAAGTGCCAAACTTATCACATATTAAGCATCTATCATTGTTCTATAGATGGGTTCGATTAAAATAAGCCGGGAAACGCCCGTGATTAGTCAGTATCTGACAGTCAGTGAATAATATCATTTATAATATTCATCTTCTTGTTTAACTTTATATTGTTCATTAACTCTTTTATCGTTAGACGACTCCCAGCAAAAATTCCATTCTGTATAAATCCAGTTTTCCATTTCAGCGATGGTCTTTTTCTTGAATCTTGGATATCAAAATTATCGGTCCCATCCCCAAGTGCCGTCATTTTAGCAAGGGTGTACGCCCTTTCATTTTCGAGAATTACGCTGTGTGCTTTCACCCAGTGTAATTTAACAATACGTTTCCTTTCACTCTTTTATTAATCAGTCGATTTTTATGATCTGGTTGGGAGAGCGCCTATAGCGCAGAATAGGGCATCAGTATAAATATTTATAAAATATCGAACTGTTAATTTTTTTATTAATCCAGTTCACAGCCTCTGTCAATGCGTGTAGTTCTGCTTGATAAACCGAATTCATTAGTTTAAGTTTTATTCTCGCATTGTCTATCTCCATTTCATGAAAATAAATTACCACAGCGCTTCCCGCTCCCCTATCCATTCCAGAACCATCTGGTAAAAACGTCTATTTCGCCACCAGAAGGAAAATCAAGATTATAAAATAACCAAATCGTTCCTTAAATAAACCAAATTATTTTCTGAAGTACTATTTCTACAGGTGAATTGAATTTTTAGCCCAAAAGCACTATTAGTCTCAGAAATTAAATGATGAAAAATCTGCATTCATGTATATTCCTCGCATTGTGAGAAAACGATAGTACCTAGAGCCATGCTTGTTCGAATAATATAGTAAAATTGAATGTGTGAACTTGGAAGCCCGAATTTTGTAATTTTAAATTTTATATTTCCTGTTTTGTAAAACTTTAATTAATTTTTGATCAACGAACTCAACGATTTGAAAGCGAGCGATACTGTACGGTAAAAAAACAGTGCGCGAACTGTCTACCTGAAATTCTAAAGATATGTTGTTTTCAAATACTTTTTTTTATCTGGTTGTTGAATGAAATTTCATGTGGCATAAGTGCGAAGAAATTGATATTTAATAAACAAATTTAAGTTAATATATAAAACCTAACATACGATATAATAAATTAACATATAATTTACTTTAGTGAATTTAATAAATTAACATATAATTTAATAAATTTAAGTTAACCTATAAAATGTTAATAATAAAAGACAGAATTTTTTCACGTACGAAACTCAACGTACGCCGTATATACTGTAAGAATGAATATTGATATAAATATGCAATATCAATAATGAATATTTATGCAGATAAGAGGTCCATAATAAGTTCACATTAAAAATAAAAATAATTTTATTATAAGTACAGAATCATGCAGAGCTAAATGTAGAAGTCATTTGCAACTACGTGAAATCATTCTGTATCAATGAATAAGTAACAGCACCAGAATAAGTAACAGCTGCAAATTGTTTTCTGATTGCTGCCATGCCACTGTTGGTATTCTCCGTCCACACTCCCCCATGCTCATTAACTGGCATACGAAGATGAGTAGGTACTATGCACAGCTAAAAATATAATGCTCTGACTGTCAGAGTGCGCCGTATCGGCACGGACCATTCTGGAAAATTCGGGGAAAATCAGTCGTTGGGTTTCGAAAATGTGTTTTCCCGAATCATCTAGAAAGTTGCCGAGTTGGCAAAAAAACGTCATATGTTGCCAAGGTCTGTCTGGAGCATATTTCATAATCATTATGTCAGGAACATATTTGCTTATATTTTGTCGTTCTATTTCATCTACTTTTACAATTTAGACGTTGTTGGACTCAGAATTGAAAGACTTGCAGTTTTACGTAAAAAGTAAGCACTTACATACAAAATATGTGGCAACAAATTCAATTTCCTGTGAAATAAGCCCTAAAGTTATTATTGTAAAAGCAACAACTAAATAAATAAATAACTAAAACAATACACAATATTACTAAAATACACAAAACAGCGGTAAATCAAATGAATTTAGACATTTACAGAAATTTACAACAATATAAAAACGCCAAAGACATAATTCCTAAAAAAGTCACGACTAAGGAAAACGTTTGATATTAATTGCTTATTCAAATAAAAATAATATACAATTCGTACCTTCACAATGCGGTGTTTCTTTGGACCATCCATTCTTGTCGCAGAACCTCCAGCTGTCGCCAATTAGTCGAAAGCCTTTATCGCACACATATGTGATGTCGAAGTTGTAAGGGAAAGCTGTAATATTGGTGGACTCTACTTCCGGAATAGAGCCATTTCCAAGTGGTTCCGGTGGGTCACAAAAGAACTCTAAAATGTTTGATTACAAAAGAAAACATGATTGAGGATGACTCCATAAAGTTAGTACTTGAAGAATTTTAGAAAACACCTTACTTCTTATTTTTACCGAAATAATATATCAGTGTAAAATAAAAGGGTTTTACAGATAATAACGGATAAACAATGATAAGGATGATGTATAGAATATACTTTGTTTTCATGTTTCTGCGAATTTTGTTCGAGTATAAGCCAGGGGTCTTAGACTGAAACTGCATGTGGGCCGAATGCTTGATCTGTTTATATGTAAATAATTATAAACTTCTTGATTTCTTATAACATCGTGGCACTTGATAGCGTTTCGATTCTGGTAAAATTTGTAGCCTTGAATTGAAATTAGTGGAAATTAATCTAGAAATTAAGATTAAACAACTGCTAAAAGAATTACTAGAAATTCAAGTTCCTCAACAGAGTTTTTTTTCTCATTAATTAAAAAAAATTATTCATATATAAATAATTAGTGATTATTCTTAATGCAAAAATTCGTAATTGAGTTTATTTATGTTTTTCGACAAACACGAACAAAAGTTAAAAAATGTGTATCTTCAAATCTTTGAATAAAATTCATATCGCATTGCAAATTAATTAGCTCCGTTTATAAATTTGTGGTGCCTTATTTAAACTCATTTTTAACAGTAGTATGTAAATTTAGTAACTTTTATTTTAATTTTTGTATTTTAATTTCCGACCTCAATCTGTAGATGGCAACTCAAATCAACCGAAGTGTGTGTGGGGGGGGGGAGGAACTTGTTTGGGCATCACTTGATAACTACCAATCAAAATTTCAGCTCTTTTGAACACGAAATTTTTGTTTGACAATTACTTTTGTGAGTTATTGTAACTACTTTTGCAAAAATGGAAAAAAAATCGAGTATCGTGCTGTCATTAGATACCTGTTTTTGAAAGGTAAACGCCTACTCAGATTAAAGAGGAGTTGGATACAGCGTACGGGGACTCTACATCATCATTTGCTACCGTGAAATTTTTGGACAGCTGAATTTAAACGTGGCCGTACCAGCTTGGGTGACGACGAACGTTCGGGACGGGCAAAAACTGCAACCACTGACGAAAACATCGCTAAAATCCACCAAATAGTACTGGACGGCCGTAGAGTCAAGGTTAGAGCTATAGAAGAGGCTATGAGGATAGCCAAAGAACGTATTTGCCACATATTGAATCAAGATTTAGATATACACAAGCTGGCTGGATGTTGGGTGCCGCGTTTGCTCATTTTGGACCGTCAAAACAGTGGACTGCAAAGGGAGAATTGGCTCCAAAAAAGGCAAAAACTGTTCCTTCTGCTGGGAAAGAGTTAGCAACAGTTTTCTGGAACAGCCATGGAATTGCCTTAATAGATTATCTTGAAAAGGCAAAAATAATTACCGGAGCATACTATACAACGTTACTTGACTAGCTGAAGGCAGAAATTGCGGAGAAACAGCCACATTTGCAAAAGAAAAGAAAATTGTTTCACCAAGACAGTGCTCCACCTCACAGCTCAGCGGTTGCAATGGCGAAAATCTATGAATTACAATTTGAACTGCTTGACCACCCGCAATATTTGCAAGACCTGGCAACAAGTGACATTTTTTTTCTCCCTAAATTAAAAGAAGCGCTTGGAGGACAAAGATTTTCATCAAATGAGGAGACTTTGCAGAGAAAGATTCCACATATTATTTGAGCGGGTTAAAAGGATGGGAGTATCGCTGGAAGAAATGTATAGACTTTACAAGGAGACTATGTCAACAAACAAAGGACATTTTGGAGAAAAAATATCTTTTTCTTTGTTAGGTCGAAACTTTTCAGGCAGCCTGCGTAATTCTAAAATTAAAGTACGCTGTGCCATTTTACTTGTCTTAGCCCGTATCAGTATTGAAAGATCCAATAATTATAACTATTCTTGAACTGTTCTATGTCTATCCTATGTTTAAACAATTCTCTGTCCCCCTAATAGAATCATTTGCCAAATCGACATATACAAGCTCAGAATTTAAATTCAACAAACTTAATTTTACTACACCTGGTAGATTACAAATAAAGTTAACATTTAAAACTGAAAGGTTGATTATTTATTGAAAATAACTGGTAATTATTAGGCGACCTTCAATTAGGAAAATCTAGATATATCAAAATCGGATCTTTTAAAACAAGATACCTGATTTTAATCATAATTTATCTCTATAGGAGGGAACACAATGCAGCCTATGTACAATATTAAGCACATTTTAACGGGGCAGATAGCTCAGTCGGTGCTATGAACTACGGAAAAAAGAGGGTTACTTTTCGCGCTAACAGAGTATGAGTTGCAGTTCAGCCTTAGCTAGATTTTAAACTCTATTACGCGTGCTTTAATTTGCATAATCTTCTTACATCAGTGGAATATATTGGACTTTAATCAAAAAAGAAACTTAATTTAAAATGTCATAGTTAGTAAAACAAAATAAATTAAGACTGCATCAAACGTAAGAATGTTTATATCAGTTGAAGCCTATTTAGGTTTTTTGAAGTAGTAAATAAGAAAAATTAACTATGCCTTCCTTGGAGTTCCATCTCGGGATCTTCCGATTGCTAACTGCGGACATGCTACCGGTTGTACCATGAAGGCACATAACGAGGAAGAAAAAACTGTTCTTACATTCTCCCTCCCCCCACCCACTTAAAGGACGACTAGAGAAATGCATTTTTAGTCGGTGCGACTTTTAGAATCTCTTAAACTATTCAAAGCAGTTTGGCTCGGTAGATCACATCCTTCATGGTGTAATCCACTATGAAAGTTGTCGATCACATCACGAATTGGTATGATCTGCCATGAAGGGTGTCACAATCACGGAGATATCATCAGAAAAGTGCATCCTACCTTCACATTCAGCAAAATCAAATTCCCATCCAATGTCTTCCTGGCACAAGTTGAACTCTTCAGAACCCTGATATTTGAATCCTGGTTCACACATAATTTCCACTTCATCATCTGGTAAGTAGAAATCTCCCTCTTTCTCTCCTACGACTGCTCCATGGGCAATGAAAGGAGGCAAGTCGCAGTGATCGTCCAAAGCTGAAATAGTGTAGATTTTTCAGTACACAGGCATCTTTGAGCGTTTTAAGCGATGATGGTGCAAAATATGAGGTCCAACGTTTTCCAATGCAAGTGAAGGATGTACACTGCGAAAAAAAAGGAAGAGCAGTTCTGTGCCTATCGTGCTACTCGGCCGATTGACGAAATTTGAATTGCGTTTTTCATACCTCGAAAGTGCGACTTAGAACATATATTAGATTTATATATTGCATAATTCTAACATAGGTATTTTGACACTAAATCGGACTTAGTAAATAACATATAATTTTTTTCCATATTTTGACTCTACGACTCAAATTATGCCTAGATATTAAATTTTGTAATTTTTGGTGGATTTAAAAAATTTATGGAGAAATTAAAAAATTTATCTTGGCGGAATAATTCGTAATACACTTGGCGGAATTCTTAATTTGTAATAACCTACTTAGTTTCCTTATTTTTCATTGATGCACGAGAGCAAAAAAAGGTCCATCGTTCATTCTTTCAAATAATTTTAACAAAGTCCTCAAACCACATTTTCGTTATTATCGCCTATATTAAAACAGGCCAACGGGCCAAAATGTAAACTCACGTATATCTTAGGAAATTTTGAATAAAAACTCTAATTTTTTGCAGATATGCTTAGAAATACATCTATTTTAAGATGATATTAAAAATTTTGTAGGCTATAATTCAAAATATTTTTCAAAAATTTATAAATTAAAATACAAATTCTTAAAATAAATAATAAAAATGCGCGAATTATATCTGGATTAAGCCTAAATTTCGAATTCTTGAAGAAGAAATCAAGTAAGTTTAATAAAAATAGAGATATTAATAAATACATATCACATTAAATTAATATGGAGGAGCTAATATTTTGAGAGCCAATTTTTAAAAAACGACTCGTGCTATTTTTACAAAATTTGGCAGTTTGGCAAAATTTGAGTCGTAGAATCGAAATATGGAAAAAAATTGGCATGTCATTTCAGAAAAAACCGATTTTGTGTCAAAATACCTATATTAAAACAATGCTATATATAAATCTAATACATATCCGAAGTCGCGCTTTCGAGATATGAAAAACGCAAGTTGAATTTCGTCAATCAGCCCAGTAGAAAGGGAGCTATAGAACTGTCTCTCCCCTCCTCTCTCCCCGCCAGTGTACATATAAAAAATAGGTCAAAGAAGGAAAGTATTTAACGTTATAAATAAGTATATAATTGAAAAATAAGTACTTTTCTTTTGTAGCGGCCTTAGTGAAATTGTTGATTGGCGAGAAACAAACAGTTAACGATCTGCGCATTGCGTTTCTTCTATGGTCGCTTTTAAATATAACGGTTTTTTCATATGCGTTCGTGGTTTCCGTTTGCCCAGCAAGTGAAAATTTTCTTTTTTAAAATATAGCGGTTTGTGTAAAATCCTAGTATACGGCACGTACAAGTAGAAAAACCTTATAAATCGATGAAACTAAAATCATTCACAGTAGTAAACTTTATCGCCCCCTCCTAATTTCGCCAAATAATCGTGTATACCGTTAGGATTAAACCGCGATTTTTCATTGCAGATATTTATTATGCTTATTATTTTCGGTATTTCCTTATTACAGCGGATCCCAAGATTGAATTGCTAATCAACCGAGATGTAACATGTAGCGTGGTATAAGAACACGTGGCGAGATATCTCGGTTAATTAACGATTCAATCTTGGAGGCCGCTATAATAAGTAAGTACTCTATATTTTCAATCTACCATCAATTGAAAAAGAAGCGTAGTTTTTTCCCAATAAAAACGTATTTTACCAAGCGAGATAAGTTTTGAAAATGGGTATATTACGCAATTATATGTTGGAAAAGAAAGCGAAGAAAGCATTTAGCAATGCGATGTTCAGGCACAGCAGTAATTAGATGTTTGAGGCATTATTAGCAGCAAGTGCTGAACTGTGGCCCCAAAAGGAGCATAGAAAAAAAAGGAATTTTCCGGTATGTTTACATGTATTCTTTTTTTAAACAAATTGCTAACAAATTTCGATTAAATAAAGTAAGAAATAAAATTTTACAATTTATTTGATTGAATACTGTAATAAATTAGAAAATTATTAAACACTATAATAAATACAAATTTATTTTAAATCCCAGCTATATGTTAAATACTGTTCGGTGTAGATGTTGAATGAATTACTGTTTGCTGTATTCACTTTCGTATTCGTGAATACTTGTAACGTTTGGCAAAAAATCGTACTTTCTGGAGCCCAAATTTCGCCAACGACTGTCCCTAAGGCCGCTATAGAAGACAAATGTCGGTAGATATATATTAGTTTACTAGAAAGCCCGGCGGTCATATGAAATGACCGCTGTTCTAGATATTATAAATTGTAATTAAAATGATTTGCGCAAAGGTGTCTGCTAATTCAAACTGAATTACCCAGGGCAGGCGGCGAGGACGCCCCTTTACTTACTGCCCCAGGGGGTGTTCCTCCTTCTATTTGCTTAATTGCTTAAAGTAGAGTGCAATGAAGGAAACCACTGGCGGTACATTTCTTAAGAGTCACCACTAGCTCAATAAATAAAGGTGATTTAAATAATAAAATGTTAATTTACATGTCAAAGCTCTCTTTGTACACAACATTTCTTGTGTAGATCTTTCCATCATTTTGAAGCTCGCCTTGCAGAGGACCATCCATTATTTTTAATTTTGCGTCCGTTCTTTCACGAACTTTTGAACAGGCAACGTAAAGTTGACCATGTCCAAATGCAGGCTCAGGTAAAAAAATGCCAACACGCTTAAGCGTTTGGCCATGAGACTTATGGATGGTCATAGCAAAGGCAAGTTTTACAGGAAATTGTCTACGTCTCAATTGAAACGGCAACCCTGCGCCGTGGCAACTTCACCCCATTGGCTAGTAGAGTTACACAAGCAACCAATAAACTATCAGCGACAAAAGACACTTAAGCCGCATATAATAAAGATATTTATTTATTTCATTTGTTTTTTCATCTTTGCCGGTTTTTGCCGGTTGCATATTTCCGAATTCTATTATATATAGATGTTAAATTTATTTATTAAATGTTAAATGCTCGTGCTCTTGTATTTTTAATTTTTCCTGCTTACCTTTCTCGTAATATTCGTCACGCGCTGCATTGCACGGGGAATAAAACAATTTACAGTTACGCAAGCAACCACTAAACTATCGGCGACAAACACTTAAGCCGCATATATATAAGATGATGTTGATTACGAAACTGTAATCAATACGAAGAAAATTCACATTTTTGTCACCAAAAAATAATACGATTTTCGTCATATTAGGATATCCTCAATTTATGGTACAACATTCCCCATTCATGGTTCAATATATTGCTAATTCATGGCTCAACGTATTGCCAATTCATCGTTCAACATATTACCAAATAATGATTCATCCAAAGTACCAAATAATTAATCAACGTTTCACCATATTTTGGTTGCAATACTTTTAATACCATAGTTTGGTGAAACCTTGAACCAAATTTTTAATAATGTGTTTGTCATAGAGTAACTTCGGGAAACGACTTCTTCTTGTAGTCCAGAAGCAACCAAAAACTCAAAACTGTGGCTTTGAATTTGGAATAGCATAAATTTCGAGCGTATTTTGGGGAAAATTCTAAATGAAAATAGCATAAAAAGTGTTTTTAATATAAAAATAATAAGCGAAAGATAATTAAAAAAATATTATCCGAAATTTGCGGGAAAATTCCTAAATTAGCAAAAATCATCTTTGAAATTCGCGCCACGATGTAACTACTGTCATATTTATAATTCTTTATAGTAGTCTCTTTTAAATTACATTTCCTTTAAAATTTTCCTTTTAAATGCAGTAGCGCCGCTTAATGTGACCACCTTCGTCGTGTCTACTTTGATAACATTAAACGATGAGAAAAATTATCCTTCAAAATGCCAATAAAATTTAACTAATTTAATAAAAATATAACTAGAAACATATAAATAGGTACTTTCACAGAATTTTAACTAGGAAAATGCAAAGAGTTGTTTATGAACTGCTCATAATGTCTTTAATGCAAATGCTCATTTATGGACGGTTCAACATAACGTTCATTAGCATTCATGATGAACTATTCATAACATTCTGACAATGTCTTGTCTTTGACCACGTCTATATGCAGTGCCATCATTATGGTTACGCAATAAACCTCTCTATTACAGCTATCGCCCAATCATCAAGAGATATTTACAGAGTTTATTATATATATATATATAATATATATATATATATATATACATTATGCATAGAGTCAAGAAAATTTCAGAAAGAAGGCGCACTTACGACGACAGAGTGGCCTCAGTGCGGTCCATTTACCATCAGGCAAACAGACGAGAGTATCTACTCCAACCAATTCAAAACCTTCGTTACAAGAATACTTCACCACATCTCTGATGAAACAACAGTCCCCTTCCCTTTCACCGTCGACAGATACTCCAGGATCAGGGCAAGATTGCTTCTCTGCAAGGAATAAAAATACTGGTGATTAAGTAATGGCATTTAAATTTTTACAATACTATGAAATCTATGTACTGGAGAAAACCATTATAAGAAAATAATCTCTATTGAAGTATGCAGGGACAGAAAAAAGATTTTTCATATTATGCAAAGCACCCGCATAGTCATTTAACACATAAGAATCCTTGTTTCGTAAGTTCTGCCAGTTGTCTTCCAAGATCCGGTACCCCTCAGAACAAATGTCCTCAGATGACCTGTATGAACAAATGTCCCCAGATTAAGACATTAAGCTTCAATCACCAAACATGTCCGATACAGATTTAAAAAAAAAAAAAGTTCAAAGAGGAAATTCATTTAGTACAGACACAAATATCGGACCGTCTTTTAAAAGGTAGAAAATGCATCTCATATTGAAAAAGTTTTAATTGAAATGAAGAAACAGACCGGACTATTAAGAAAAACGAAAAAGAAGTAAAGAGTACAGTTGCTGCAGGATCTTCCACATCCGCAAAACGTGCAGTTCGTGATAGCTGTCAAAAAGAATTTCGTTGGATGGTAATATCATTAAACAAAAAGCACTCAAAATTTTCAAGCATCTCAAAGAACATGGAAGTAAAGGGTGGTTCGAAACTTTCAAAAAGCCTTTTGCAATTGCTTTTTGCATAAGAATTCAAGGAGAATCTGCATCGGCTGATTATGAAGCTGCTAGGATGTTTCCTGAAAATTTTCAAAATATTATAGAAGAACATGAATACACAGAAGATCAAGTTTTCAATGCTGACAAAACTGGGCTTTGGTAGATAAAAAATGCCCAGTAGAAACTTTAAAATGAAAACCTGCGTCCTGATTTAAGGTGTCTAAAAACTGTCCAACGCTACTTTTTGTGCAGTATGAAGAAGTAACTCATTCAAAATCAATTAATGTAATGGAAGTTTGGAAGACATTTTCAATCAAGAACTGAATCGACGTCGTACCTTTGTCGCTGAAAGAATTGAAAGAATCAACGTTAAATGCATGTTAGAATAAGATACAGCCCTCTTCAGTTGAAATAGAAAACGTGCGTGAAAATGAAATTGGTAACACATTAGAACTTATTAATTTAATCGGAGGCGAAGGTTTTGTGAACATGGCTATTGAGGACTTTCAAGATTTATTAGCGGAAGAAGAAATTGACGAAGATTTGCTAGAAATGGCATCCGAAGCTGTAAATCAAATCGATTCTGAGGACAATACCACTGATGAAGGTTGTGAAGTTAATAATTTAACATTAAAAAAATTAAAAGAAGTCCTACGCTTAGCTGAAAATCTCGAGTTATTTTTCTTGAGTGCAGATGCTTCTGCTGAAATAAGCCTAAAATTCAAAATGGAGTTGCAAAACTGTCTAGCTCTATATCGAGAAATTAAAATGACCCGGTAAGAACTATAGTAAGCAAAGTAAAATTACAGATTTTTTAAAGAGGGAAGAAAATGCCGGAACTTTAAATGAAGAAAGAAATTCTGAACGTGAAAGCCATCTCATTCCACCGAAAAAAAGTTTTCTGTTGATTATACTTGAGCAATGACAACGAAGAAATTTATTAAACTAAAGTTGCTTTAAATTAAAATATGTAATACTTTTTGTTTTGTGTTATACATACATATATAGTTTTAATAAAAATTAAGTTGTTTATATATAATTAAAAAATATTTGTTTCTAATAAGTTTTTGGAACATAACTCCCCTTTTTATACTGGCTCTGGGTCTAATACAACACGGTTTCATATAACACGGAATTTTCTAGAACCTATTTACCGTGTTATACGAGGCTTATCTGTACCATAAAGACGGGGAAAGGGTGCACAAAAGACCCTTTTATTATTTCAAATACAGTTTAGTAGATAGCACCAACTCGTACTTACAGAAGCCAACACTTTTGGCTTAAAATCAAAGGTAATGGATAAACTTAAAATGAATGACATTTTAGTATAACTAACTGCTTCACAGTTTAATTAGTGCACAAGCTGGCTCTGACCGAAGTCGGAGGAAACAAGCTTAATGGCAAGATTCAATCAACGCTGCAAAATTCTAATTGCTAGAGGATCAAAGTTAGCAACGTGGTCTTCAAGCAGGTAGATTTCACCCTCAAAAACTTTGATTTAGTTACTTCCTTCATTCTACGTAATTTGAATATCGCGCGCTGGAAGTTTACATTCAGGCAGGGATATGAAACGAGGTTTGATAGAAAAGTAATTTAACTTAAGTTTAATAAATTAAAATGAACCTTACAACTAAGATATACAAAATTGGTGAAAGAAGTATTCTTATTCTAAGGAAGAATATTTATAAAGGAATATGTAAAGTAAGTGAACCCGCGAATTTTATGTGGAAAGAAGTCATGGATCGACAGTATTGATGACTTCAAAACAAATACTATTTAACTCTAATAAAATTGTGAATAAATTTACTTACTACCACATTTCATTCATTAAATATATTTGCAAAATCTCTGTACGCCACTTCATATCAGTACGTTGTTTCATATCAATGAAGCAAATATTTGTGGCATTATGCAAATAATAGTTCGTTGATCAGGCATCGTTTAAATTCCAAATGAAACCGGATTACCTGTAATTTTTCTTTTTTCTCTGCCTTCTTTTTGTTAATTTTAGCTCATTCTCCTCGTTTTTCACAAAATAATATACCATGAGGATAATACAAGTAAGTTGTAGATCCAGAAATAAATAAATAAAAAGTACAGTTACGCTGCAAATTAAAAAAAAGTTATGAAAACAATTAAATAATAATTAAATAAGAACAAAAATTTTAAGAACTCAAAAGTCTACTTTCAGAAAAAAATTTCGAAAAGAATAAATTCTTTCTAGTACGTTGGTGGCCAACTTATAAACAGAATCTTTAAGTTGGCATGAAGCCTCTTCCTCCATTGGACTGGGAGAGCACACTGGAGAAACAATAAGATTATAAGGTATTCCTCCCACCTTCTTGGCGTGCCTTCGTGGTTGATCAGCACACTGAGCCGGTTTTTTCAGAGGTCCGTGATTCGATTCCCGGCGAAGGCGATTGCTAACTTTCACTTCTCCTACTTCAAAAAAATACCTAATGTATCTACAAGATAAGCATCTTCATCGTGCTTCCGCAACCCACAAAGCACTTGAAGCAAGTTCAGATTACTCTTAAAATTGCCCTGTTATGATAAAAATTGATTGAAAACCTGTTCAAAATGAATCAACTTTTATTTTGTGAGAAACTGCAGGGAAAAATTTATGTGTCTATTGTGCTTTAGGGAAGGCAGGATATTCTCTGTTCCAAAAAGAGATAGCATCTTTTCTATAAAAGTGAAAAAACTGGCACACTTTCTTCTAGTGAAAAACTGGACACACTGAGGTTTAAACCAACTGATAGTTTTGCGACTAGCTTCGCTAAGGCATCAGCCCTCCCATTTCCAAAATTTCCAAATCTGTTTAGGCTCCAGTAGCGGGCGAGTGGTTTAGCTCTTTGAATAGTCGAACAGAACAAATGGCTGTATGGTCGTGTTTTCCCTTATGTGTAACGTGAATAAGAACCAGGTTTCCTCAGAAAGTCTTCCACTAATGTATTCCTCCTCTTAGGCAGACAGTCATCGTGGATTTGTTATTTTCCAATCCACAGTTATTCATGAACATAAGCAGAATGAATGTCAACATTAAAATTTTGCAAGCTTTTAATAAATAACCTGAATTTTGACAGAAATCTTCTCTTACACACTAATTTTTACTTCCTTATACGAAGAGAAAAAAGTTCTGTAATTGCGAAAAATTTCGGAGTATTATAATTCAACGGAAATATCCATTCTGATCGTTTCCGAATCCATTTGATCGATTTTTTTTGTTTTTTTTTAATTTTTTCTTTGCATGATCTCTGTACGTCCAGATAGAATACTTTTTTCCAAAACGAATCGTAAAATGGATGTAAAACGGACTTAAAATGGATCAAAAGGTATTTTTTCGTGGCGTCTCTACGTACGTACGTATCTCAAATAACTCAAAAAAGATTAGAACCTTGAAATTTTTTATATGGGACTCCTATACCATCTAGTTCCTATACCTCCTTTTTATTTCAATCTGCAGTACCAATATATATGTATATATAAAAAATTTATTTCCTAAACAGTATTGATTAATTGATTATATTATCTCCTAAGTTTAATTAAAGTAGAATTATTTTAAAAGTGTGCATTCATACTGGTAAGTTATATTTTTTGAAAGATGTTTTGAAGTAATTTGAAAGCAAAATGTTAATATGTTTTAACGGGGACTGGAGTTAAATCATCACGAAGAATAAATATTACAATTGTAAAAGTAAAAATTAAAACATGTAATTATTGTCATTGATCGGAAATTAGTTGACTTTTCAAGGGGAACAAACCAACTCCCGTTCAATGAACAATAATTGACAAAAATACGTAAATATGAAAGTGTTTCGTCTTTACTCGAGTTATAAGTTAAAGCCAAACCGGCAATTCTAGTCAGGCCAAATATTTCCGCGAATAGTTGCTACTCAAAGAACTGATTCTCATGAAGCATTTTAGTCAATTCAATTTGGAGTAAAAATCAATTACTGTAGAGAAATCTTGTAAAACTCGAGTAATCGTCCCCGACACTATCATCTTTATGTATTTGAGTACTATATTATTTGTAGAAATTAAACATTGGAAATTGTCATTATGAAATCGAAATCAAAGTAAAGTTGAAATAAACATAGAAGATTATAAAAAAGATAAATAATGCAAACTTTGCAAAAACAAATCAAAGAGACATAAAATAATATAAAAATAATATAAAAATAAAATAGAAAATAATATAAATAAGATCAGTGAATGTACATGAAGATATAAAGTCCAGAAAGGTATTAAGTAACTTACATTCTTTCTAGTGGGGGAGTTGGCAAAGTGTTCTTTTCGTGTCTGACTCAGAAGTGTAGGGTGTCCGAAAATTCTTAGCGGCAGTAGGGGCTTTGAATAATATCAGTCGGTAAGACTTGGGTGAAGAAATTTATGGTAGTGGGTGGGACTTGGAATTCTTGAGGGATGTATTTTGTGGAGTTCTTATCTGAGACCGTCTGTTAAGATTTTTTCGAAAATACTAGTGAATGGAAATTAATTAATTTCTGGCTAATTGTCGTGTCGCAATGATTAAGAATTTAAGAAAGGAAAAAGGCATTTTCGCTGTCCAAGAGCTAGTAGACAGTCTAAAGGCAGGAAATAGGCCCATTTTTTTAGTAACAGTATAGTAACAGTATATGTCTGAAGACAATTAGCTTTTTACAATATATACAATTGAGTAATTACACTATATACAAATCTTTCAGCTGACAGTCATCCAACTTATATTATTTGAAGATTACATAAATTCCAATTTCCAAAGTCGTTAACAGGAAAAGATAAAAAGAAAAATTTAAATTAAAGGTAAAATAAAAATGGGTATTATTTTAAAAGAATTTGAAATATAGTAAAAGGAAAAGTGACAGTTGAAAATATTGCCCTACAAGCACTAGCTAATAGTAGTGGAAATGCATATAAAACTGAGATGTAAAAATTTCATATATTAGTCGATTTGATTTAATCAAATCACTAATTCTCTGGATTTATTTCTTTCAACTAAAACTTCCTTTTAATACAGAACTAACGATAAAATTAAAAATTGCTCAAACAGTTGAAAAATTATATTAAATATTAAACTCACTTTTAACATGCGAGAATAAACATTTCTTTCTTCCGTAAAATGGGAACTTTCCTGACTCGCTTCCAACAAGGGTTCTCAGTATGTGAATGCTACATGAGCTTTTGATAAATCAATGTTCGGTCGCTCAGTAAAGCGAATGAATAACACATCTCTAGTTGGAAAATTATCAAATTGTTACTGACTGGGGTGTGAATTTTGGGAATTTAGATGCAAGAAACTTAAGAATGTTTCATGGAGTTAACAATTGGGTCCTGGACAAAGGTTTATGATCAACATATCGCATGGAACAACATGGAACAAGGTCCTTGACAAATACAACTGGCGCTAATTTTGTCTGAAGTATAACGCGGTGTTCATTACTGATAGGTGTAAGTTTAACTTTGAAACTATTTCCGAGCTATTAATTTGCATAAACTTCCAGCCTGAGTGAATATGCAAAGCGTGATCCAAGAGAAGGAAGACAGGATAGTGTTTAGCTTAAGTTTAATTGTAGCTAAACATAAAAATCATTGACATTCTTTATCAGTATTTTGATGGATTATATTAAAGAATAGTCATGTGATAAATATTTTTACACAGATATGGTAAATACCCACATTATATAATATCACATTCATTTAAAGTATCTTACCTATGCATTTCAAAGTCAGGTTGCTCCAGTGAACGCTGTTCGTCGTTAGATCCAGTTCACAGGTAAGAACTTCTGCAGTTTCGTTCTCCAGCTCGTATCCTACGTCACATGAGTAAGTAGCTGTTGAGCCGATTACTATCCGGTCATCTATTCCTGTTTTCAATGTATAATATCCATTTGGGATGGATGGTGGCTCTGTACATTCCATCTCTGATCAGTTCCAAGAGAGAGAAGGGGGGAAAAAGTACAATATAGAATTATATTGTTACGAATTTTGTACATATATACACGATTTTAGTGCAGTTATATGTGCAATTGTTGTACTTTTCTCTGTAATGTAACGCGAAAAATTTTTTAAGAGAAAGCTATGCGGGAAAAATAAGAATACAGCAGCAACTCCGTTTAACATTGAGTAACATTGGGTATCTCGGTATTTTGGCGAGATATCGCCAAGCTGATAACGGCTTTGAGAGCTTATTGTCGCCAAATTCGGCAAAAAATCGTCAAATGTCACGACATTTGGATCCGGTCCCTGTATCACAACAATAGGTACTGCAATTGAATAAATGTAATTGATCACTATATTAGCTGTAATCGTAATTTGATTCTCATATTGCTTTCCAGTAATTTCAATAAGCAGAAAGTACTAGAAATGTCTCGTGGCCAGCTGAAAACTGTATAAAGCAGGAGAGAGAGAGCATGTGCTCTCAATTCTTTAGTTTTCTGTTGCTGTTATTGTTGCGAGTTGTTAGTTCACTGTGAGATCGGATTAGCTTTCTCTATAGATTTCGTTGCTTTGCATTGTGTTGTGTTTAACGATCTTAGTAGTTTAAAGTGTAACTACTGATTGCAGATTATGATATTATAAACACCTGTAAGAGTACTTCTGTTGAAAATTCCAGAGCTTTGAAGTGTTTCTGTTGATAACATTAATTTTATTAACCTATTATCGAATCTGTGTGCATTCAATCAATTACAAACCCCTACGCACTCAACAATATGTTTCTTTAGCACTGGAAAATTTCTTACTTACCTCTTAAATACATAAAAAATATTCGAACTTTTGGGTTACATTCATAGGACGGAGCTGGATAGAACCGACACTGTACAGAGTGTCCATAATTTATTCGTAGGATGAAGATTTGCTATTTTGTAAGAGTAAAAAGTATGAAAAAAAGACTGACCAAATTTTTTAGCACTTCAAAGAGCTTTATATTAGCACACTTCAACACGAACGCAATTAATTTCTCGAAAAGTACAAAGTCTATCCTCCATTTCCTTTCAGAGGTTACTAAGCGTTTGAGGAGTCACAGTAGCTATGGTGATTCGATTTTTTAATTTTTCGAGGTTGCAAATCTCTGCACGTAAAACTCAGTTCTTCAGGTATCCCCAGAAGAAAAGGCCGAGTGATGTAACCTTCGAAGAACGGGGTAGACTTGAAATTAGTCCACCTCCACCGATTCAACGATCTGGGAATATGTCATCAATGAACATCTACATGTGTAGCACATATGTCAGGGAACCCCATCCTGTGGGAAATAAATATTTGGCTGCATTTCTTTTAGTTGAGGTACCGAAAATAATCTCAGCATATCATCCGAATTAATTGATGACTCCAAGAAAAGAAGGGACCAGTCACTTCGTTATGAGTTAGTGCACATCAAAAACTTAAGGGTTACCTCGCTCAATTTCTCTCACAAAATGAGTGCTTTCTGTCAACGAAAGTTTTGTAGTTACGTCGATTAACCTCTCCTTAAGCATGAAATGTTACTTTTTCACTGAACATGAGATTTGATATGCCGACAAATCTGCAATTTATACGCATTCAGCTTCAACCGTTCCTGAGCTTTATGAACATTCGACTTAAGCACTTCTATTTGCAGTCTGGTACGACGGATGGATTAACTGGGATTGCACACAAACACATCTCGAACAGCGGAAACATTTTCAGTTGCTACTTTGGTTGACGGTTGCACGGATTTTGGCGATTTTTTTTTTTTTTTTTTTTTTTTTTTTTTTCGAGCGATACCACTTATGGTAAACCGATTGCTGGACAAGTTATTTATGGTAACCGGTACTTTGTTGTCATTTTATTTAAAAAATAAAGCGTTTTATTATGCGTAAATTCTGTGTTTTAAATATAGTTATGGCTTCTAAATTTAAAAATCATTAAATTTTGCATTTTTATTGAAATAAAAATTTTATTGTTTATGATTTTTATAACTTATGCTGTGGATGATGTAATCAATGCGTAACCTTATTTAAAATAATTGGTTTAATATCTTAATTTAATAATGTTTTAAACATTATTTATGGCTGTTAATATTAAAAACAATTTAATTGCATTTTTTGAAAATTTTTATTATGAATGATTATTAAATAATTTAATTCTATGCGCGATGTAACGCTCCCTAATTGTTACGAATATTTGTGCATACGCCATTTTAAAATTTTATATTCATCTCTTTGAATTCTTAGATTTCAAAGCGAATGATATGTTTGTTTGGAAATGAATGTGTATGGTAATTACCAAGAATATGGTATCGGAATCAAAAAATTCTCCTTTGAGACCTTATTTTGGCCAACCGGGCTTTCTAGTCAAAGATTATTTATAAATTGTTACAGGTCAGAGGTAATTTATTAAATTTTTAGAGAAACATCACTAACTTCAATTGCGAGAGATGTGGATCACAGATGAAGATCGTTAAAGAGCCGATTCTAGGACGGCGTCTATGGTTTGTGTCACGGTTGAAGAATACCGCTGAACGGTAAAAAAATTAGACATTCTCCTTTTACAGCAAATTTTTTTATGATATCTCATTATGATTACGATTTTTGTGTACTTCAATATACGAAGTTAAATATCAAAAATAGTAAGTAAATATTTTTTTTTACTTTAAATTCTACTCAGTTTTTATTAAAAATTATAACTGTTTTCAAAAACTGCCGAGATTTATTGCCATATTGTTTAATTTAAATAATTATCCATTAAACGATTTAAAGTATTGATTTAGTATATTTTAATTCTTTAAACGTTGGTATGATTTTATTAGATATTCAATTTAAGTATATTTTAATCCAATAAACGTTGGCGCAATGTTTTTATAGCGGTGTTTTTATTCTATTTCTTTGCTGTACGAAGTAATAATTTAACCTTATTTAGTATTTTATTCCTTAGTAAAAGTATTTATTTACATATACCTTTAAAAACAACATTTCACCAAAAAAACTAATCCATTATTTTTAACGATTTATTTTTTAAAGTTTCGAATACTTTACTATTACACGTAAAAACAGCGTTTTTTAAGATGGCTGACGATTGTAAAAACCGCGCCAACAATTGCGCCAATGTAAATCGCAAAAACTCCGTGCAACCGTCTACCAAAGTATCACCTATTTTCATCACGACGCTTAACCTACCTATACCTCCTGTATTCCTTTATATGTCTGATCTCTCGAAATTGTTTTAACCATCTTTCAATTGATTGTTCCGTTTGTGGACTTTATTAATTTTATGTTGAAATCGCCTTTAATCTATTTTCAGATGTTATATTTCCCATAACCATAAAACAAATATCGTTAAAAATAATGGATTAGTTTTTGTTGAAAATGTTGTTTTTTACGATGGCTAGTAAATGTAAATAAATACATTTACTAAGAGTATAAAATACTAAAATAAGTTTAAATTATTACTTTCATACAGCAAAGAAATAGCTTACTGCTTTTTCAATGCATGAAGCCATTTTGTCTGTAAACAAACAAGTTCCTGGTTGCCATTTGAAAAACATTAAAATAAACTAAATTCCTTAAACTAAAGATTATATCGATATAAATTATTTTTTGTTACTTCATAAAATTAAGTTTCAGTTTAGTTGTGTTATCTGATGATTAAATTATGGACACTTTGCATATAGCACCGACACTGCATGGGAGAGGTATGGTGTAAAACCGACACTGTCGCAGGATTAATACCAGTATTATGACTGGCACAATTAAATAGAAATCTTTATAATGACGCAATAATAAGAAAGATAATTAATTCAAACATGTCTTTACGAAACTTTAAGATGGATATTATGTAACATTTACTATGGTTTCCAGTTAATTAGTAAAGTTAATACTATATGACAAAGTGTTTCTTACGTTCTGTGAAGACTCAGGTGTTAGAAACACTTGTCAGCAGGCACTCGAGTTATCACCATCAGAATATTTAACCGTCAAACAAATAGACACAGAATTAAAACGTTTCAAATTTATCACTCACCACTTGCGTGTGATTAAATTAAAATATACAAACACAAATTTACCATTTAACTTAGATTGGGTTTAAAACTCAAAGCCTCTTTTCACAATGAATATTAATTCAACAATTTAAATTTAATTTGACTGGAAGCTACAAGCTTGCCAATGCCGTGACAAAACATTCAAATACATATTTGCCAAAATAGGATTTAACCTCAATCTACAATACTCACAGAAAGACCAGCATTAGCGTTATCAACAGACGGCAGCGGCTTTAACACTTTGCGGCTCAGTGTGTCCGGTCTGGACACACTTAAAAATTTCCTTCTGTGTGCACAGGAAAATTGAATGAAAAAGGATTTAAAGGGTTACTATAAATTTCATTCTGTACACACAGAGAAATTGAATGAAAAGGGATTTATAAGTTACCATAGGTTACTCTGAACCTTCTTTATTTATAGTAGATGCCAGCTGAACACAAACCAGTCCATATATTTTAGCCATGTTTTATTTTTTAGACCCTCATTTCAAAAAAGCTTCCAGATTTTTTGAAAAGAATTGTTTGTCTATTTTTTTTGGCTGTATGCTAATCTCCTTATCTTTGTTTTTAAATTTTACCTTGAAATCTTGCTAAAGTCAAACGGCGAACCCTAGGTGTGTCCACGGGTTCACCGATCATCTAGGACAACGAGATGATTCTTTGTTTCTACGCATCATCGGTCAGCATTCACAACAATGCTCTTTCAGCACTCTTTCGAAGCTCTATTCATCAGTGCCCACTTTGGGCACACCCAAGAATTAAACGATTTTTCTTCTCTTTATAGTAAAAAGCTCCACTCAAAGTACTAAATTTTGGAATGAGTGAAATCTCATAACTAAAACAGCAAGAAAGGACAGAAGTAAATTAAATAATATTCTTGGTAAACGTAAACATCACCACAACGGAATTAATAATTTGATAAGGTATATAAATAAAATATTTTCATTTTTATCACAGTATCTTTTCAATCAAGGATTATGCAATCAGAAATTGCTAAGCATATCAGAGTCGACCTCAAAACTTATATTTGGTTGCAGGGATTTATATTTATTTTAAGTAGCCAATTTAATTAATTTTACTTCTTTCCTATAACTCTTCATTCCTCTAATTGTCAATGCCAGACTATTTAAATTTGGTAGCGCGCGTGAAGTAACGCAAATTCTACTTTGAAGAGAAAAGATTTAAATACCGAGTTCTAGAACGGAAAGTAAGAGAGTGTGAGCGAACACTGTACTTTTGTAATACTTTCTGTTAATATTTATATGAAATTCTATTAATGTATGGCAAGCATATGGTCAAATTTATATATATATATCAAAATAGTAAAATTTTAATTGTAATATAAAATTTAAATAAACATGGTCCCACTGAGTGAGCAATAAAGGTAAAAGTCTTCTTCATGGAGGCACAGCTGCTCACCCAGCGGTCTCCTGTCTCCTGTACTTTTGTAGCACGAGCTTCTGTTTTTCATTTATTGCTGGTTAACGTGCAGTTACAGCTATTACTTTGCTGCCACTAGATATTCGACGCTGTTTCAGAAAACGGGATTATCTGAGCTCTCTAGCGTAATTCTACTTGTTAATATCTTCGAATTTTTAGTTTAGTTCCTGTTATTTGAGTTACTGACCGAGTGAGGCGTAGTGTGTTAGCGTCAAGGCGACGTTTTGTGAATTTTAAAAGAGTTAATAAAGGGTTCTTTTTTATCTTTCTTCGGTTTGGTTTCTATACATATTTCAGATGTTACATTAGAAGATAGATCAGAGGGTCCTACATAGTAATAAAAACAAAACTGTTAAATGTTCTGACTTATACACAGATATATAAGGTAATTAACTAATTTTTGAAGAGATTTGAATTCTTGAATGCGATATTTTTTTTAACTGCAAAGAGACTTGATTTTATATTATTTACACCCTTGCATACAAATGCATGAGATTGGAACATGGAAAAAGATACAAAAATAGAATTACAAAAAGCAATTAACCTGATTGAAAAAAATTAAAACAAACAAAATTCCTTGAACTAAACATTATATCGATATAAATTATTTCTTGTTACTTCATAAAATTAAGTTTCAGTTTAATTTTGTTATCCGATGACTAAATTATGGACACTTTGCATATAGCAGTGACACTGCGTGGGAGAGGTATGGTGTAGAACTGACATTGCCGCACGATTAACACCGTTATTATGATTGGCACAATTAAAGTAGAATCGAACTACATCGAAACTGGAAACATATAACTATATTAAGCATAAAAAATAAACGCTGGATTTCAACTGCATCAGCTCGCTTGTCCACCAATATCGACTGTACAGGTTTTCGTCCTTTAACGAGCAAAATTTTAACAAATGATCTCTATCCACCTCAATTCTGGTTGCACGAAGTGCACACAGGGCTATCATATACTATACTAGTGCGGTGAAGATGTTTAGCGAGAAATCATATCCGGTCTCCAAACGGAACGCCGCAACTGCGATGGATCTGGAGAGTCCTGGCTATTACAAAGCGGTAAATATTTAAGAAAACCATTGTAAAAGTCCCATCCTTCGGAATATACTCAGGCAACATGCCTTCTTTATTTCGCTTGTCCATTTTTCATCCGTTCCTATTGAATTGCAAAAATCGAGGAAGAAATTGATTTACAAACAAGTCTACTTACTAAGACATTGTGGGAACGGCTCCGTCCATTCGTTATCTGCGCAAAGAATGGCTTTGGGTCCAACTCTCGTATGTCCGCGATTACATCTGAAGCGTAGAAGATATCCTTCATTGGCACGAGTGAGGTTCACATCGCCGGGCGCCTGGTACCGGATGCGACCGTTGGGAAGTTTCTTTTCCGGAAAGATGCAATCTGTGGATAGGAATGCAGTTTAGTCACTGAAGTACTAACTTTCTCACAAGTGAATTGACGGTATTTAAAATAACAGAGGCATTCTCAGTCAGAGACTTTTATAATTTTGAATCATATGGCTTTAACCTTCTGTACTTAACACCGTTACTGTAATGGAGGCATACACAGAGTGTGCGCACGAAATGTTATACCTTTCAATTAACCCATAAATTTTTTAACATTATATAACTGAATGTTAAAAACCCATATTTATGTGCTTTTTTCTCGTAGAAAACCCGCTAGATGTCAGGAGACGTAAGAATCGGACTCTAATTTGTCGCGAAACAGCAGTTTGCAAGATGGTTGATAATCTCTGGTTGATTATTGAACATAAGGTGAACTTTAATGTTTTTTGAAGAAATGAAGAATTTGGTAGCGGCATAAATATGTTTTTGAACACACTTTAGTATCATATCGGCTCCCTGCAAACAGGTGATTCACAGATTGTGTCAACAGTTGTCTGCCAAGTGTCCACGCACCTGCAAATGCCAATATTTTCCCTTTACGCACTCAGTGATTCATGCAAGACGAAGCTTTCTCACACACTGCAGACGCTGTTCTTGACTTCCTGTATGAGATGTTTAATGTTCATGCAATGTCACATTCGTTTCCTGAACGTTACGAAAGTGGGAGATAGTGGCTCCGAATAGCCCGGATATTAATTGGTATGCTTTCGTTTTATGGGAAATTTTGACAGATAAAGTTTTGGCAAGAAAACTTGCAAATATAGCGCAGCTCAAAGGTCTCCGTTACTTTTAACAGCGTTATATTTCCAAATTTTTCCAGGGCTAGTTTCGATGGTTTAACTACCGAACCATCTCTCTCAGGTGCCAAAATGCGAATGGAAGTATATGAAATTCCGTGTGCCACCCTGTATATTATATACCACAACTCCACTGCTTCTGCTACAAGAAAACCAGTCTAAAATCTCAGTCTGTCACTCGAATCAATGAATCTCTCGCTCGATACACGGAACTGGAATCTTAGAATGTCACTCGAATCGTGCTTCGGTTTACATTATCATACCCTTTTGCTCCTGAGTCAACCCAATACGAATGGTACTATATTTCATAAAATGATACTGCCTCAGAACACTTTTTACATTAGTACAAAATGTCATAGTACAGAATTACCAGAATTACCTCTTAATAGCACCATATAAAAAAGAGTATTAAAGTGAACATAGTTTAACTAAAATTAAAATTGTAAGCTATAGCTATTATATTTTAGGTGAATATAGAAAATCTGATTGACAGACTAAAGCATTTCTGTGTAATTTCAGGGCAAAGAGACTGAAAAACGATTGAATAAAAATGATAAGGAGTGGCTTAAAAATCATGTTATTTTCTATAAAGACCATTTTTAAATTCTGCTTTGAGTTGTCGTTTAAGTACATACTAATATTACACATTAAATTGCAGTTTCAAACGAAAAGCTTTCGAAAAATACTAGTTAACCAAGGAAAAAAAAGAAAAGAAAAAAAATTACCTTCTTGCGGCACTCTACCAACAATTCTAAAAAAAAGAACAATTTTGTTATTGCAGAATAATGAGATTTTACAAGACAAGGCCGGCTCTAAGCCTAAGCGATGCAAGCATTCTGCCTGTATCGTCTAGTCTACCACTGATACACCTGTTTTACATAGCTGCACTCTTCTTACGCAAAAATAAAATATTTATTTCTAGTAACAAACCAGAAGAGGAAAAAAGGATGCCACCAGATGAGTTATTTCTATCTGAAACTGATCACTAAAATATGCCAACATTCTAACATAGAAAATCTGCAAATCTGCATTCCTTCCACCCGCCTAATTTGAAATCAAATTACATGCCATTTGTCATCAAGTATTTAGACAAAGTAATTTGTGTCTAAAATACTTCATGACAAAGAAGGAATAGTTTTATTTAGACGAAATAATTTGCGTCCATAATATGGAAATTTTTATCAATATTTAAAACCAAAATAATATATTAAGAAGCAAAATTTATCATTACAAATTCCTTATAAAATGTAATATAAAATTTTACCACTTAAAGCCAGATGTAGAAGAACAGAGGCTACATAGATTCCAAACAGCACCTGGTGTATACGACACTGCAACATTATATCTCCATCTAAACAGAATTTCAAACATGTAAAAATATAATACTTATCACGGTATTATACATGTTAGTATGATACTTATCACAAAGAAATATTAAACATACATTCTTGGAAAAAGACTTTATTCGGAAAATTCATATTTATTTTGGGAGAAAGGTACTTTATCTTATGAATAAGGGAAGATTACTACGAGCATAAGAATATATAATGGCCTCAAATTGTATATTTTGTCCTTGAAAAATAATAGTAATAAATAATAGAATGGATTACTAGTTATAAAATATTAACAATGGATACAATTAATTTAACTCATTTACACTACTCATATCCTAATATTACAGTTTAGGGTTGTAACGATCACGTTGGTGCAAGAGACCTCGGTGACTTCTTGTATGTAGTTGCTTGCCCATGTTGCTGTCCATTAGCGCCAATGAGATGCGCAGCAGAGCCGGAGTTTTGCATGCTCTTGAAGATGATAACAATGACCTAAGGATTCGATCACCCGTCTGTTATATGATAATCGAATATTACACTGAAGTGACAAAAGTC